ACCTCCACACCCGTTACTGTGCAGCAGGTCCCTCAGCCTGTTACCCCCAGCAAAGATGTAAGAGACATGGCTCAGGACATCATCGACAGAGCCATGGCCTCCCACCATAACACGGAGAAGCCGACGCCCATCATCCTCAACAGGAGTCAAACACCAACAGCAAAACACAAAAGATTATACAATATTCAGAAATCACAGGATTCAGACCAGTCAGCAGCTGCTGCACCTTCAGCATCACACAGTGTTTTCACCGGTAAACCGCATTTCATCCCTCAATTTAAAAGTGCTTCAACCCAGCCACTGGTGAAAGTCAAGAGAGTGTCGTCATCAGCTGAGAGGCCATCAAGGAAGAAATCAAAATTGGATTTAATGACAGATCCATCAAGTGAGACAGAGGAAAGCAACGAAGCGAGGTATGAAACAAGAATCTTAACTTAAGAATCAAGTTATGATACAAGTAGCTTCCAGGCTAAAAGTGAAACCAGAATCAGTAGTAACTTGGTGTAAATAAGATTTTTTTTTTTTAATTATGCTTTTTACTCAGCAGATCCAGTGGAGTAAGAATAAAAGCTCCATCCATGAAGGAGGTTCTCGATCTGGACAGAAAGAACACATCGGAGTTGTTAAGAATAACTGCCCCAGCACCGGCGACACCTCCAAGGTTTTAATACATCATTGAAGACACTATCTCAAGTGGTCTCCCTATATACTTCACCTAACAGATGCTTATAAAACAATGCTTCAGTTTCCCTACTGTATTAATATTTTTTAACATTTTTGTCATTTATTATAATCCTTGTTTTGGATTTTTTTGTAAAGATTGATGCAGATAAACCAGACACATTTATATAGTAGAATTCACAGACCAACCTGAGATGTTAAATATTTTATCATCTTTCCCTCAGACACTCACATGATGAAGGTCTAACAGGAGAAAGCAACATGCAGACTGAGATGAAAACAGATCGCTGGGTCAGTGCTCGACATGGAGACCTCGCCGAGTGGGGCCCATACGCAGGTGAGGGCCTCTCTGTTCATTTGTTTCTACAGCATCATCATTGCAGCATTCTTGCTTTTAATTAACAGGAAAAAATCTTCTAACTGCATGAATCAGTCAGTGACACTGTTTTTTTTTTATTATTGGTACAGGTTTGAGCTCAGAAGACGATGCTCACACCCCTAAAGTCAGAAAGAAGACCTACATGAATCAGCCGCACCTGCGCTTTGAAATCACCAGTGATGACGGCTTTAGTGTTAAAGCCAATAGTATTGAAGGTGAGACGTTTTTTGAACCATCAGTCAGCACTGTTGGTCTGACATGTTTTTAGTGTATACATCTGTTCAAACCACTGAACTGATTCCATCAATTGTCATTGTTTATGCACTAAAGAAAGGGAATTTTCCCAAGATACAGCAGCCTAAAACACTTAAAAAGAAAACCAGTAATATCTTCATAGATATGTGAAATCCACCTCCCAAATTAATCTGCATTTGACAGAATGTTAGTCCCTCATCTGTGAGACGTTCTTTCTTCACCTTCCTCAGTTGCCTGGCGTGCTGTGATCGACGGTGTCCTTGAAGCCCGTGCTGGTTTTCACCTGAAACATCTGCCTCTCGGTGTCATGAGCGGACCCAGGGTGCTTGGTGTTGTCCACGACGCCGTCACCTTCCTGTTGGAGCAACTGCAGGGGGCAGCAAACTGCAAACACCACCGCTTCCGCTTCCATCGCTGTGATGAAATGGAGGAGGAGCTGCCACTCAATCCCAGTGGTTGTGCCAGAACAGAAATCTACAGCAGGTGCCGTCGCAGTCCCAGATCTTACAGATGAATTTGACGGCCCTAATTTTGATCTAAATAAACTTGAATCTTTTCTCTGTCTTATAGGAAAGTAACTTTCGACATGTTTAACTTTCTGGCGTCGCAGCACAGAAAGGCTCCTGATATCATCGGGACCTTTGACGAAGAGGAAGATGAATTCCCACTCAAATCTTCCAGGTAGACAAATTCACTCTTTTTACTTGTATAAAGGTTTAGTCCTTCACCTCCTTCATACTAAACACAAGTTAAAATATTCCAACAGTATGCAGTATTAGAGTACTTACATGTTTACTTCATCCTTTGTGTGTGACAGACGAGCCACCAGCAGTGAGCTTCCCATGGCAATGAGATTCAGGCACCTGGAGAAACTCTCCAAAGAGGCAGTTGGAGTTTACAGGTAACGATAAATGAGGAATACTCGGTACACAACTGCACAGATATGAAAATAAATAACAAATACCACCAACTAATAACCGACTTTCTACTCTAAAATGACAGATCTCCCATTCACGGGCGAGGACTTTTCTGCAAAAGGAACATTGAAGCTGGGGAGATGGTGATAGAATACGCTGGCACCGTCATTCGCGCTGTCCTCACTGATAAGAGAGAGAAATACTACGACAGCAAGGTCAGTTTACACAGTCCTCTCTGTTACACAGAACAAGAGTCCTCTTCTAGACCTTGTGGGACTAAAATGTGTTTTTACAAAATCTTTTAATTAATCAACAAAATGAAAACTCTTTGCAAATAATTCAAATGCAAAATACTACAATCCCTATAGTAAACCATCAGCAACAATTAGCCAACAATCAGAAATGGATTTGATTTTTTTTCTTTGACAATTGGCTGTTAATTAGAGTTCAGCCCTGAACTCTTCACATGTTTTTGTTGACATTTGTCCTCCTCCAGGGCATCGGCTGCTACATGTTCCGCATCGATGACTTTGACGTGGTGGATGCAACTATGAAGGGCAACGCCGCCCGTTTCATCAACCACTCGTGCGAACCCAATTGCTACTCCCGCGTCATCAACATTGACGGACGCAAGCACATTGTCATCTTCGCCCTCAGGAAGCTGTACCGCGGCGAGGAGCTCACCTACGACTACAAGTTCCCCATCGAGGACGAGGACAACAAGCTGCACTGCAACTGTGGGACGAGGCGCTGCCGTCGCTTCCTGAACTAGTCACATGACACGCGCATGTGCTCTCGCACACAGAACAACAAATGTCTGGTTTAAGGAATTTGGGTAAACTACTGTGTGGGTGCTTATTTATGGATGTGTTTAAAAACTGAGATTAGAGCCATATGTCAGTTTGGAATGAAGATTATTTATAGTTTCTGACTGCTGGGTTGTAGATTTATTTTGTTTTGTTTTGCCCTGTTTAACGCACTCTTTTCCTTTGGTTCCATTCGTAGTTAAATGACATTCGTAGTTATCAACAGCCAGGATTATCCCCACCAACCACAGTATGATGCACAAAAACTATAAACTAAAAGAAAACCAGGATGTTTACTTTGACTGTGCAGCAGAACAGCGTCTTCATAAAGGGATTCAATGCTTCTTATTTTAATACGACTGTCTAAGGCAGCATCTGTGGGAGAATTTTTAAAATCACAATCAAGTACAACGATGGGAAAGCTTTTCTACAGATAGTGCAGCTACTTTGAAGAACCACTCTGCATTACAGAGCTCCTCGTCGTCTCTGTGGTGATGCTCTGGGTGCTGATGATGCTCACATTCACTTTAGTGTCCTTTTAATAGTCAACAAACACTTTTCCTCCCTTTCTGCCAGTTACCAGTGTTTGTTTTTATGTGCAACAGCAGAGATGCTGTGACCTGAATGCTTTTACCCCACTTAGTCTTTTGTCTTTGTTTGAAGCTGTTTGTGTGTTTTAGAAGGAGTTCCAGTGGTGCAGGGTTCAAAAGCTAATACCGTGATCTCACTCTGCTCAGTCCCTCCTTCCTTATTATTTTCTTCTTTTTTTCTCTTTTTTTTGTATATTTGAACAATAAATGTATAGTTGACATAAATAAATGTGTTTGAGCTTTTAACCTTGTGAAGGCTGTCGGGCAGTGAAGCTGTTGCTGAGTCACGTCCCGGTGTTAATATTTCTTGATATTCTCCTTATTCTTGCTCCTTCTTTCACTGTTTTTGTCTCCTTCAGGTTTACTACCTCAAACACGTCATGAGCAAGATGTTACTGGATCACACCAAACATCTGGTGGAATTAAATGTTTCCTTGTTTCCCTGGGTGTCTAATATAATCAGATATTGCTTTGCAACAGTATAACAGCTGACCATTTCAATGTTATCAAATACTGACTGACTGGTTTGCTTGTATTTATCTCCTGGAATGCTTGCCACCTTTTTGTCTGGGTGTCTACACTGAGTGGATCCTGAGTTGAAGGCTAAATGCTGTAGTAGAGCATTCTATGTTTTTAAGAGTCCACAGTTGACACAGCTTTGTTACATCAGCAGTTTATAAGGGATCACTGTCTGTATATAGTTGTATAAAGATTTCTAAACCTGTTAAATATTTTTATCTACACTTTTTTAAGTTATGTCCAATAAAATTTAAATTGATCATAATGTTCTCTGTGTCTATTCAGAACCTTTTGAAATTGTGCACGACACATGACACTTTATATGTGGTTGTGTAAACATCAACACAGCCACATGTCAAATTATATATATTTTTTCCTTCCTAATAGAAGGAATTAAACATGTAAAGGTTTTATTTCCATTTTACAACATTTGTTTCCACCCATTCACTACTTGTGACCTGCGATAGCAGAGTGTTATTCAGAGGATTTTATCATTGACTGAGTTAGTTCTGAGTTAGTGTTGCAGTTGTAGAATGGCCTTATCAGGGTTCACTCAGCAGCTGTAACCTACCATGCATCTGGATAAATGTTCACACTGGGGTTTTTACAACAATATGCAGGTATCATCATGTGCACATGTTGAGTTTTTTCTCACAATTTTCAAATGGTTTTTACAACAAAATGCAGGTATCATCATGTGCACATGTTGAAAAAAAAAATTCTACTAAGGCTTAACTGCCAAACCTCACTACGATCCTGACCCTCATCCTGGCCACTATCAAAAAGAGTCCATTTTTATCCACTAGTTTCCACATGGCTCAACATTTTCTGTTCCTCTCAACCATATGGCATGTTCCCAGAACAATGTTTTACTAACCAAAAGTACAGCAGGGCTGTATATAAGGAGGTACGGTGGGTGTATTCGATCCATTCAGACGTTTGTCACCATGAAGGTCCTGGTCTTCCTGGCACTGGTTGGAGCAGCATGTAAGAGACTGACTATTTTATCTGCTTTGGTTTTAGTGTTAATTATAGTATTCCCATTCATCTGACTGTGTATGATGTTGTTTTGTTTTGTCAGTTGCTGCAGTTGATGACAAGGTCGTGGGAGGGTACGAGTGTCCCAGGAACTCTGTTCCCTACCAGGTATCTTTGAACGCTGGATACCACTTCTGTGGTGGATCTCTCATCTCCAGCCTGTGGGTGGTGTCAGCTGCTCACTGCTACAAGTCGTAAGTACAACGAACCTTAACTTTAACTTTGGCTAATGATTTTTCAGTGCTAATGTTTAGTGTTTACTGCTTAACTTCCAGCTTTTAAGCACTTTTTTGTTTAATTTTACTTACACTAACTTTTAGTTATCTTGACATACGTCATAACATCTTCATAATGTGATACCCGTAACTTTAATTATCTTTTAGCTTTTTCTGGCTTTTAGATTTTCTTGTCCAAGTTTTCATTTCATTTGCTCAGATTTTTTCTAGCTGTTAAGTTGCTGACCAGTGTTTTCTGATAGAAACTATTAAACTTTCCACAGATATTGAATCATTCTTTCAATATTTATGTTCCGTAGTTAAATTATGATTAAAAATACTTCAGAATCAATGTTGTAATATGAGAGCAGTCCTCTAGAGTTTCTGTTTTTCTCCACCAGCCGTATCCAGGTCCGTCTCGGTGAGCACAACATTGCTGTGAATGAGGGCACAGAGCAGTGGATCGATGGCGTCAAGATGATCAAACACCCACAGTACAACAGCTACAACCTGGACAATGACATCATGCTGATCAAACTCAGCCGCCCTGCCAGCCTCAACAACTACGTCAAGACCATCTCCCTGCCCTCTCGCTGCCCTGTGGCTGATGAGCCATGCATGGTGTCCGGGTGGGGCAACACCTCTGCCAACGGCAGTAAGTACAGCTCGAAGAAGCTAGGTTCTATAAAGTGCACCCGATAGTATTCTGTAAGATTTTCACAGTGGAAAACTAAGGCCAAGAATAGCAGCATGAGTCACGATCAGTGTCAAAGGTCAATTATGCAGGAATTTTATCTGTACTGATTCCTTCACAGCCCGTGCAGAAGGTGCTGGAAACACGCTTTGCATATTCTAATTCATGTGCTGCCTGTGCTAATAAACTATATTTAAAGCTAAAATGAGGAAAAATGTCCATACAATAATATGTTATTTTCCTGCTAAATTTTTTAAATAGTCAAAGTAGCGGCTACATTTACATACATAGTAAAACTGCAAACCCCTGTTGCATGTAAAGTTGTGAAAAAAAAAATTCTTTACTTCCTTTTTCTATCTGAAAAGTAAAAACAGAATGTATACTTCGTTGAAAGCTGTTTGCAAAGAATAAAGAGCCTTAGTGTGGGGAAATTCAGAACACTATATGACAGTGTCATCTGCATATAAATAGATGTATGCAATATTAATAATATAACCCTGACAATTTATAGATCTATTCAGACAGTGATCTCTGCTGTTCTGTCCCCCAGGCCTGTTCCCCGACAGACTGCAGTGCCTGAGGCAGCCCATCATCGACGACAGAATCTGCAAGAACGCCTACCCACACCTCCTCACTGAGAACATGCTGTGCTCTGGATTCATGCAAGGAGGTGCAAGCAGCTGCCAGGTGAGATGGACTGAAACACAGAGAACACACAGGGAGAGAGTCAGGTTTACTGTGGTACTCACCGAGTACTGGTTACAGTTACAGTGCAGATGGTGCTTAGATAATACACGCTACTTTAATTACCTCCACACCTTTGCATCTGTTGCACCTGTATCACAAGCCACAGGAACAAGATGTTACAATAACACAAGAGGCACGGCACAGTCCTCAATGTGGATTTCAGCTGCGCAGAGACAGTATTGATCTGTTCCTTCTTTAAAAAGTTATTTCAGAGTTATCTACGCCAGGTTTGTCCAAGATCTGGCCTGAGGACCAATTACTGCCGTTACATAGAAATCATTAAAAGATTAAATTGGTTCAAAGGGAGCTTTTTTACATGCCTTTAAAATATTTGAAAGGTGTTTGAATATTCTCAATGAAGAATTGTATCTATTTCTAACTACTGGTACATATCATAGGCTATAATAGGTCAAGGTTCATGGAGATAGAGTTGTAAACCTCCATCCAGAAGCTCAGAAAACTCACATCTGTTTACTGGATTACTTGACCATTTTTTTAAACAAAAATCAAATTGACACATTCAACTGTTTAAGCATTGATTTATTTTGTTTACAGGGAGACTCTGGTGGTCCTCTGGTCTGCAACGGTCAGCTGCAGGGAGTCGTGTCCTGGGGTTACGACTGTGCCATGAAGGGACACCCCAGCGTCTACGCCCGTGTTTGCCGCTACAACAGCTGGATCAGCAGCGTCATGCGCAACAATTAAACAGATGCAGCTGCACACAAGCTGACATTTTTTTATTGCGTTCATGTACAACAATACACTGTTATCAACAAGGAAGTCAAATAACCCAATAAATAAATAAAATCTTAAAATAAATTTTTTTACACAGAGAAAAAACAAACCAGAGAAACTGCACTCTCACATTCCAAATAAATAAAATAGATTGATAAAAGGTTCAAGTTTAAAATGTTGTAGTTTTCTATTGTACCACAGACACATGCTTCACTATGATATACCTCTCAAATGGTTAACACAGGGAACACAGTGATAAGGGAGCCTGGCAAACTGGAGTAAATAAAGAGCCGGGCACAGCCGCACCATAACACTTCTCTGAATTCTTTGCATGCTTTCCTCAGATAGCGCTTTGTAAACTCCGCTGTTTCTTGCTCGCTGCTGCAACCTTAAGGTGCCCAGGAAAAGACAGAAGAAAAAAGCAAGACGTACAGTTATGAAGTTGTCACAGGAGGAACAGTGAGAGCTGCACACATGGCACGAAAGCTCATTTGTTTATCCAAATATCTAAGAAAATATTTCCATGGTTCGGTCTAGGGATCACTTGTGGATCCTGAACATTTACTATTTCATTCAACCTTCTAAGCAATATTTCGTTTATGTTTTCATGGCAGTAACCAACACAAGACACAGGAGGGAGCTAGTGCTAGTCTCACGCATGTCAGTAGTTATTCATGATCATGCACCAATGTGGAAAATCCCAGCAACGGTTTTTGTTCTTCTACAAAGTAATTTAAGGGGAATCTGTGTCTACTCTAGTGAAAAGATACATCTTTTTCTTAGATAAATTAAATAACTCTAAAAACGCCCTTGTTGTAATTTGAAATTGAGTTCATTGTTATTATGGGGAAATGGGACACATCCATGTTAAACCTCTGTACTCCCTTAAATACAACAATCACTGATATACATCTAATTTAAGTACTTACTGAAAAAACACACACACGGATCATCTGTCACACAGTAACAATAACGTGTCCTTGACGGCTCACGGTTTCTGTAGTTATTACGTTAACAACCCACCTGACCTGCGATCCTGTCCAGATCTCTCTGGCCTTGAGCAGTGAGTCTCCTTCCTCTGGAAGCAGAACAGTAAAGGGAGAAGTCAGGTATTTTGAGAGTGCTTTCTGAGGCCAGAAAAAGGATCAGGAACAGGGACGCTCTCGCTCAATATAAGCATAGAGTTTGCTAAAATATACACCTTCTTAAGTCGACCAAATGTTAGGACTGTTTGTTTTCTGTCTAGAAATGTACCTTGCCGTTATAAACACACACACGTTTTTATTCATCAGCACATAGTATAATGTTAGATCTCTCTTACCCACTGGGGTCCTTCTCTACCATCTTAAGACCCTCAAGGGCCTGGAGGACCTTCCTCGCCACATTTCTGGAGCCCCTGCTGAAGTGAGCGGGGCATACGCCATTCCTTTGGCGCCCTCCATAGATTTTGATCATTGCACCTACGCCAACCCCTCCCCGCAGGTACAGGTGACGGGCCGTGGACGCTGGTGAGGTGAACAAACAGTACAGATGATTTTCTACATATGTCTGTGAAACATTCCGGACTTGTTGAAGGCAAAGACATGAAAATCAAACATTCCACCTTCATCACATGAATGAAAATCTTATGTGAGGTCAATATACCGGAGCTGATAACATACAGCCGCAGCTGTATTGTATGTGCTTTTACTATAGAGTATATACTGTACCAGCTGTGAAAATACATCTGACTGGAAAGACTAACATTACACAAGATGCATGTGTTATAAGGTGTGTTATATACTACACATGGTTACCTAACACACTGACCTGATCACAGTAACATATTCAAACTTACTGATGTCAAGGATGTTCATACACTGTCAATGTACTCAACCTGCTCTAGTGTAAAACCAGTTGTCATCACAGGGAGCCAGCTCCTTGTGCCTGGCAAGTTTCACAGTGTCAACCCATTCTGGGACCTTCAGTTTTCCAGACCTAGAGGAAATCAATCATTAGTAAATGTGACCACATGTGCAAATACATTTTTGTCTTATTTTTGTCCCTGGTCATAAAAAAGAATAAGAATAATTTACGGATAACTGAAAAGTAGTTTTCAGAATTTACTTAAATGTTTTAAAATAATCGTTTTGAATGTAATTAATATATATATATATATATGTGTATATATATATATATATATATATGTATGTATATATATACTGTATATATATATTATATATGGCAATCTCGACATGACTTTGTTCCCATGAGCTCCGATTAAGGGTGTGAGTGATTGACAGGTGGCTCTCATCCAACGCTGCAGCAGCAGGTTCAGCCTGTCATTACTTACTTTTTGAGGAAAGCTGACAGAGCTCTGACAAACTCTTGCTGGTTGACATCTTTCACCGTAACACTCGGCATCTGTGGGACCAAACGGACAAACGGGTGAGCTTGAAGTTTCTGTTTCAAAGTTATCATTAAGCTCTAAGCTAGGAGCCGAAATATACACCGCAGTGTCTGCTAACGTTAGCCACCTGCTAGTTAGCTCTCCAGCTACACCAACTGATAGCGAGCCAACGAAGCAGCAGCCCCAGGTGAACTTGAACATGCAATTCTTATTTCTTTTTTTAATCCTAGAAATAGCCAACCTTGATGTTTTGTATACCATGCAAAGCCGACAGTCAAGTTGTCACTTCTCAGATGGGTGGAGTTTAGCCAGACTTTAGCCCACAGCTACTGCAGTGAAGCAGTAAAAAAGAGAAGGATGCTGAGGAGAGAGGCTGTTCTTACTTGAACAGGGTGAAGATGATGAAGATGAGGAGGAGAGTGATATTGCGGAATCCTGATTTCACCCCCAGTATGCCTGCAAAATTCTGGGCCTTACATAAAAGGGAGCTAAAAGTTTGTTTTAAATAGTCTGTCGACCGTTAACCGTTTTTCAACCGGTATTTGAAAAACAACTAAGTAGTGAACACATTACGGAAGCGGCCAATATGCGATACGTTTAGACTTCCTCGGTTGTTTGGCGTTTTGTGTGATAACAGATATGTTACATAAACATAATTGCTTTATTTATTTTAAAGAATAACTTAGTAACTGTAGAGCAACGTTGTTTAAAGTGAAGACGTTCTAGGCGCACAGACCAGGATTTAGGTTTAGGCACAATGTTAACAATATAGTCCAACACACTATTCAAAAATATGTATTTCATAAATTACAATTACATATTATAATTTATAAATAAATGTACACATATGTACTCATTAAAATAATAATAATAATAATAGTAATAAAACAAAAACATCAATAGAGTCAGAGACATCCCAGGCCTTTTGATTCTCTAGCTTGTACAGAAGCTAACCTTAATAATGTTATATACTCTATTTGTAGTCTGGAATATTAATATACAAATTCATATGTAACAGACTAATAAAATTAGTATATTCTAGTACTTTAAAATTATGTTTATTGTTACGTTGGTGACTTTACGTTTCTTTTAACGTAAACGTTAAACTTTTCGAATCGTCGAGAAACGTTTCCTGTGTACACCAGCAGAGGGTGGAATAAGTTAAACTTTTCGAATCGTCGAGAAAAGTTTCCTGTGTACACCAGCAGAGGGTGGAGTTGAGACTTATTTTTTCCATTTGCATGTTGCTCTGTTTTAAACCAGAGGTTTCTTCCGGAGGCACGTTGCAGCAGGAGAAGAGAATAGTTCTGGACGAGGACAGCATCAACGGAAGGTCAGTTATCCTTAATTACTTCATCTAATCTTTACTTTTTATGTTTTTAACTGTGAATGAGGTTGAAAGAAGGGAGTTATATAGAAAACTTCATCTTGGCTTAATCTTCTAGGAGATCATACGCAATAATTAACATTGGAATAAATATAAATTATCCCAAAGTAGCAGTTATTAAGTAAAATATGACAAGTTCTGGAATTAAATGAAAGCTAGCAGAAAAGTATTGTTTGCTAAAAGACAGCTAGAAGTAAACCAATTTATTTCCTTTGGCTTAACCATAATGTTAAACAATTTTCCAAAGTTAAATATTCTAAAGGCTATCTAAAACTTAAAATGGCTGAAAGGTTTGCTCTTAGCACACCTGCCTCGGACGCATTGAGCAGAGACTCCTGGGTTGGATTCCTAGAGGAAACACATGCTTGATAGTTAATCCTCCTCTGTAAGACGCTTTGGATAGAAGTGTCTGCTAAATATAACAGAATTTTCTGCCATTGTGAAAAAAATGGAAAGATAATCAAAGAATAATCTAAATCTATAAACTATAAGCTTATTATAGCATGGTTGAAATAGTTAGGTGTTATACAAAAGTTGTACCATGGACCTTGAAAGTATACAAAAACTCCTTGTCTTTGACCTGCTTACATCTTATATAGTCCATTACGAACAACTGGATGAATAACAGCAATGTGTGTCATGAATATGCAATGCATAGGTAAATGGGAATTGAGCAGTCGTCTTTTCATCCATGATATGAAAGCTCAGATTTTTTTCTACTATCACAGTCTTTATGCTCTAATATTACTGCTGCCCTTGGAAAACAGAACAGTGTGCTGTGAGATCGAATTGTCATTATATATTTAATTTAGATAATAGCGATCAACTTTGGAGCACATGTAGTTACTTGAAAGGGAGACATTTGACATGTGAGTTGCTCATTTCCTTTTGTATATTAATCTCTGAAAGCATGTAATATTAATTATTTCCAATACTTTCATCATTTCAATACATCTTTCATTCCTTTAAGGCAGTGTCTGCAGACACCGCTGTATGGTATTTAGATACAAAATAATTGCAGGGTAGCTTTTCTTTAGCATAGTCATTGTAATTCAGCATAATTCAGCAGGGTTTTTTTCCAAACATTAACATGGAATATAACTTAATATTCAAAACATAGTTACATCAAGGGCAACTGGAGGGAGCAGGATTTTTGAAGACATTTCACTTCACATTTCTAACGATTTTTGGATAAAATAACCTGGATGACAGAGAACCTACATAGACATAACTCAATATAATGTACAACAATGTGATGGCAGAAAGCTACATTTCAACTCTCTGGTTCTGACTCTTGAACATTTTATACAGAACAGCAGAATCACTCAAAAACTAAACAAGGAAGGAAATATATAGGCAAGTTAAAAATAACTAAGGGATTATTTTTGTATGAATTTAAATTTTTGTCTTTTTCATCTGTGTGAGAGGGTTGTGGGCAGAGTAAGTAGAGAGAGAAGTACACAGATGATGCAGGATAAAATAAAAGACTGACAGAGAAGAGAAACAGCCCAAAAACAGGCAAACCTGCAGTTTTACAAATAAGATTGAAGATTACACAAATTGATGTAGTATGAAACGTCTTACACACACTTCTTTTCACTTGATAAAAATATCATAATGATGATACTAATCAGACACATGTTCAGTATTTTATCAACCAAAAAAAATCACCAAATAGATAGTCTTGATCTCCACATTGTATAAAATATTACCAGAGTGAATGCAACAGGTTTTGGTCCTGTTAGAATGAGAATACTGTCTCAATTATTATCAGTATTATTGATGACATTTTCTGAATCTTGTAATGATGAAGTAACAAAAGTCATCTATAAACTTTAGGAGACATCCACCTAATGGACCCATTTGTTTTAATTCTATTGTCATTCCGCCCCAGGTGGTTTGTGATGTTTTTCCTTTCTGGAATGTAGGCGAAAACATCAAATAGCAAATTAACACCAGCATGTAAAAACAGGGTGAATGAATGAGTCTGAAACGTACAGACATGTTCATATGTACACACGCACACACATGTGCACGAGACAGCCTTCCCCTGTGTATTATTGTGTTTGGTTTTGTCCGTATGTGTGTGTCTGTCGCCTGAGCTTCTTCCCCTCCCCCTCTCTCAGCATATCTCTCCCCTTTTTTGTCCCCCTCACCCTCCCCTTTCCCCTCCTACTTGCTCTCTCCTGCCTGCTAGCACTATTTCAAGCCTTGGCCTCAGAGAGAGAAAGGGGAGGGGAAAGCAGACAGGATTTAGAGTTCAAGTGCACGTGCAGAAAATAGGCTGAATAGAGGAGAGCCAGAGCAAAAAGGAAACCAGGAAAAGGAGCGGCAGGGGCAGGAGACAAAGCGCACAGTAGCCCTTTCTTTTTCCTCATTTGTTTCTCTCCATTTTCTTCCCACAGAAATAGAAAGTATTGGCTTTGGAATGGGGCGTTGAAAAAAAAGCCCAAAATTCAAATACCGTGAGTGTGAAAAAATGTATTTCTGTCTCCTCCTCTTTCCTCTCCCCACTGACACACTCCTCCTCTATCCCTCCCTCTTGGATATTTCTCTATGAACCCAATAGTCTATCTCTCCCTCTCTCTCTCCTTCAATATATCTTTCTCTCTCTCTCTCTCTCTTTCTCTCTCTCTCTCTCTTACTGTTTCTCTCCTCTGTCTCTCCACCCACCTCACATGCACACACCCCGGTGGACTCCTTCCACTCCTCACGCGCGCTTACTGAAGACTGACTGCAAGCTCGGGTTTTTTCTCCTCTTTTTCATTTGCTCGCCATTCTTTTCTTTTGGTTACTCACTCATGTACCAAGGCTCCTCGACACTCAAAGACGCATAAACTACAGTACGTGGCACCTCTGAGAGGCACAGGCTGTGGATTCTCCCTGTGTTAGACTTCATGCCAGAAACTGCAGTCATTTTTTTTTACTAACTTAAAACTCAATTTCAGTTTAGAACCGATTTTTTTTCTAAGCGTCTCATAGTCTGAAACAGTGATCGTGGGAAAAAAAGTGCCAGATGAAAGGACAGATGAAGGGGATACAGGTAAAAGAATAGGGTAAAGAATGGATAGCCTGCTCTGCAGGAGAAAGTGAGAACGAGAGAAGGAGAGAGAGAGTAAAGAGTACCGGTACTGGCAAGAAAAAATGGGAGGGGGAGAGAAGAGAAGGGGACCATTAGGGGATAGACCTAGGAAGGAGGGACGGTGGCATAGGAATTGGCAAAATCGCGGGAAGGAGGAAAAAAAAACAAAACTCCAAAAACCAGAAGTTGACTTTGATGAAGAACCCCGGCCGACAGCTTTGAAATTTTTTTTATCTTATTTCTTTTTCATATTTTGACCAAATTTTTCATTACTTCTGCGGCCGCTCCTCTCTCATTCATCAGTGAGTATACAGTGTGTACACGTTCTGTTCCTTTCCCATGCACGTATCCTTCCCTTCTACGGCTTCATTTTTCAACTGTCTCCTTCTTTTCTTGTTTGAAAAATGTGTTCCCTAGGTTGCTAATCCTTCCATCCTGTTTGTCTATCCCATCTTGTGCTCCACCTCACTCCTACTATTTCTCCATCTCTCTCTTTCCTCCCTTCAGCACTCTTTATCACTCTTCCCTTTGCTTCTGCTTGAAGGATTACCTCTGCTCACATTGGGTTGAGGGCTTTGGAACGGGATCACTGAGTGCATCCCGCTTCAGGGGCCCATGCATGGGAGGGTAGCACATGAAGGAGGCGAGGTGTGTGTGTGTGTGTGTGTATGCGTATGCATGTATGCCTGTGCTAGTCATGTGTATCTGTGTGTCTGTGCATGTGTATGTTCATATGGTGGGCTGTGATTCGGTGTTAAAGGCGTCAGCAATAAGGATGGTCACTTGAGCTCATGCATGTGTAATTGTTAAATCAAGTTATATTTTTTTGCACATTTCTAAGAACAGCATGGTATGAATCATATAATAAAAGGCATAGAAGTAAAAGGTGAGACTTTGGAGTGCAAATAAAGCAGTTGAAAAACACTAGTCCTCTTACCATTTTTTTTCTTGTTAGGCCCTTTTTACACGTCCGGTTTGTTACTCCCTCTCGTCATTTAATTTCATCTTCCACAGTACCTGTACATCCGGGTACCCTTAGTTTATCTGTTGATCTGCGTTTGTGTTAATTATTTGCTATAACTGTATTTATTGATTATCTTATATGGTGCCGTGCATTTGCCAGAGAAACTTTTGATGTGGTAAAGTTTCAGCTCATACTATGTCGACATTTTAATTTTCGTATCTCGATTACAGTGCAGACAGTGCTCGGCCATGAGGCACCATGGCGTGATGCAGTTATTAAAGCCGGTTTGCCATTGTTCTGTCAAAGTCCATCTCTCACTCCTGCGGTATCGGCCTCAGATATCTCTGAGCATCTTTTTCCTTTTCCCCCTTCTTTTACCTCTCCTGCCTGTCCTGTTTTTTATTTACACAGCCGCTTGCTATCACTGCCCACATTTTCTTTATCATTGGGCACATTTGTTTTCTATGCCCAATATTGTTAATGGGAATCATTCCAAAGAAAATTGGCCACACGTGTGTGTGTGTGATCCCTGGTCATCGATGCCCTCCTGTTGGTGTGAATCTTTCTCCCTTTATTTCTTTATGATGAAACCTTTTAGTATTATATGTTTATTAAGACAAGACAAAGTATGTGGTTGTCACAGGGTTTTAATTGAATACATTGGACATTTTTAAATAAAAGCTGCAGTGAAAGTAAATTTAAAGCCGATGCCTAATTAACCAAATACATTTAAAACTGGAATGCTTGCTGGATAAATTCATATGAAATTATTTGATTATTAAACAAGAATCTGAAAGGAACTGACAGGAAGCGTCATTGCATTGTTTAATATGCAAAAGCGGTGGATGCCTTTGTTTAAGTCCAGTCCCTGCCTTGACCTTTCAGTGAACTCCACTTGAGAGCACAAACCTTTTGCCTTTTTCCCTTAAAGCAACTTTGTCCCAAGATTAGAAAAGTTCTGTAAAAAGGAGAGACGAATACCACCCTGACTCTGTCACGTTATCTTTCAAAGTTGACTTTTTACTTTGTCAAACCGGCCTAACACCTTTAGTTTCACTCCTGTGGGATCTGCTGCTAATTCCTGTTAAGTTGGACCCCCAGGTTATAAAATATTACTCAGACAGACCTAAAGTTATGTAATCTTACATAACTGAGGCAGCAGCTCAGCAGGCTCGTGATCAGGGGCTCTGGTGCAGAGGCTATATGGGTCGGCTTTATGGAATGAACTCACTGACAGGGTCAACACACTCACTCACTGAATACCTGAGCCTTAAAGGGGAAGAGGCCCCTGGTGAAGCCGTCTTACACATATAGATTGACACCTACAGGCTGGTGGGAGTATAGTAGCCTCCACCTATAGGTGAGGTTAACACATATTGTATTTGGTCGCCCATTTTTGTGTGTGAGATAAGGTAGGATAGTTCTATGCTGTTCCCCTGACTCTGTAGCAGCTCTCTGTTTCTCATTCATATTTGATGACATTCAACCGCAGCATACATTAATGGATCGAAACAGACCTCAGGAATTCCCATGCAAGCTGCCGTAGTGTGTGGCAGCAGGTTTGAGTTTGTGTCACTCAATACACTGGAAATAACTGACAGACTAGTCGTCCTTCTGTTTAATGTAGTTTAAGGAGGATTTCAACGAAAAAAAACAGCACAAAATGGCTTTAATTCCGGTACTGTTGGAACGCTTGTAACTGATTGTTTCGATTAGGAACGTAGAAAAATAATCTCTGTCTTTCAGTCTTAAATATTAAGGCTTCTGGGTGTTATGCTTCTCAGTGACAGAGTATTTGGTTTGAGAACATATTTAGTTTTACTACACATTTAGATTTTTTTTATTTAGACATTTTTCAGTATTTTGCAATTTATGGACCAAATGCCAAAAACAGTATAATTAAATGTAATTGCCTTCTCTTATTTCATTGATCTTGAAGTGTTTTGCCTCAACCCAATACACTGTGTATCTGCACTTAAATATACTTCTGTGGCTGATAAATAAAATATTATTTTAATCGAAAATTAACTTTTTTATTAACATTAACATTTTATTGATTAAATAATTTCTAATTGCTGTTTATTTATTTATTTATTTATTTTATTGATTAAATATTTACTAATTGCTGTTTATTTATTTATTTTAGTCCATGATGTCCTATTTGCACTTTTATTGCAATTATTTTAATTGTTAATTGCAATAATAATCATAATAATAATAAGTAAGAGTTCTTATGATTCCTAGTCCTAGACAACACAGAGCAGTAGTAGTTTGAAATGATCAATTTAAAAAAACTTACATAATTATGATTTATGAATGTAATACCATTTTTACCATAAAAATCTAATCGTACAACAGTGTGTTATTAAGAATGCCAATAATTTCTTTCTGCTTTCAGGTGACTCCGCAGAGAATCTAGTCCAATGGAGGTAAGACAACATTTTCTTTGTTCCTTTCTTTTTCTATTTTCATTATTTTACTTACTATCCCAGTTATAAAGTTATGAATTTATGTAGCAAAGCATAATGAAGTTTGTCTTTGATTTGAGAAAAATCCTCTGTTCAATGTGGTTCTGGTTGTGAAAATGTAGAGCTTCACTGACCAGATTTCTGCTAAATGGCAGTCAGCATTCAGGAGCACTCGGTCAGCCATTTTAGTCTTGGCCTGTACCAACAAACGTCAATACCCCCATTGGAATAATCAAATTACTCTTCCCTGAGTCATTCCGTCCTGATTAACCTCCCATATATGTGCAAACTCTTGGTCAGTGTGAAGGCAGGAATTCAACCAGCTCTTTCGTTCTGCTGCTGTAGCTCACGCACCTCCGTTCAGAGCAAAGCTTTGGGCTTCAACTTATCTCCGTAAGCAACAAGTGAGAGGTCATGCGCTGGTCACGTTCCGATTATCAGATGTTGCTGAAAAGTGAGAAAGTGCGGGAATAAAGAGAGGCCTGTAGTGTACCCTTGAAGCTAGTTTGGAGATGCCTCACATTACATTTTTGTCTTTGTGCTGATGTCACCTCTGTGCCCCCGGTCCAGCAGCAGGAGAATAAGAGCTGCATTCTGCCCCTGTGACACAATAGAACCCTTTTTGGCCTGATATTTTCACAATGTGTTTTTGCAGAGACCAATGTCTGACCAATGTCTGCAGACACACACTCACACACATTCTCCAAAGGGCAAAACACAACATCGATTTTTACGTACTGCTGCACATTTACCTGATATTTTAACTCATTATTATTGCAAATAATTTACAGGAATTTCTTAACTTTAGAAATGTCATTTTTTTTATTGTTTAGTGGCTTGAGCTCATCTAGAATAATGTACAAGCTGGTTGAAATGATGCATTTCGTGTGTCAGATGAATTCAAGTCTTCTCAGTACAGCGGGGTGGTGTGGCATGGGTTAATGAATAAGGACCTTGAGGAATGTGTCCGGGTCCACAGGGAGAATTTCTCAGTCCTGCGCCACCCGGGCACTGCACTGACAAAAGTCTGACACCAATTTTGGCAAGAGCTCTGCCGCCCTGCACCTCTGTGTCTTCACTGCACCTCTATCTTTTTCTTGTCTTCCTACCTATATTATCTTCTTTCCATCCCCTCTTCCTCCTTTCTTTTTCTTCCTGTCTGGCTCTGTCTGTCCTCCCTTCTATGCCTTCTTGCTTTAGCATTTCATCATCACTCTTTTGTTCTTCCTTCTTGCTTTTTTTCGTCTACCCCCTGAATTTATTCCGTCTGTTAGTTAAGCCATCAATTTTGCTTTTGTTGCTTTTTTACCGGTGGGTCTTTTATTTGTCCCCATGCACTTGATGCTTCCATAATGTATCTTTCATCTTGAAATATTTATGCAGTATAGGTATTTGTACTCCAAACACAATTTTTCTGCCATTGTTTTCATACCTTTCCATCTTTCAACCTCTCATCCTCCTTTCCCTTTGATTTAAGTCTGCCCCACTCATTTATCTGGGACTCTGGGCTTTGAAGAAAACCTAAGACAAAGGCAGACGTAGACCTACATATTCTCTGCCTGTTATTGAATATGACACTGGCATGCTTGTTATTAATTGCAGTGCTTTAGCATGCATATGGTGCCTGGCGGTGCTGGTCATGTTTGATTTATACAGTATGTTCCCACACACAGGCTGAGGGCCTTAATAGCAGATCTATAAGACTGAAGGAGTTTAGTTTGACACCATCTGCAAAGTTATAACATTTACAGAGAAAGACGTGGCGTTTTTTTTATATAACATAATTCAAATTAACTCACGGGTTGCCACATAGGGGGCGCCATTATGGATATTTTAGTTCTGCTGCTGTCACATATGCATACACAACTTCAAATGATATTCTCAGCAATAGAAATAAGATATCTGATCAAGACTCTTATGTTCCTGTCTAGACAAATGTAGTCAATGTGAATATTATATATCACAAACCGATCTAACCTGTTGTTGTGCAGAAAAACGCTGTACTGGCATCATTCATTAAAAAGTAAAGTCTAATCTAAAAAAATCTGTCTTCATGTTTAATGCGAGAATGTTTACCCAATCAGCAATAATCAACAAACTGGAGATAGAGACAAAGGCAATTGTCATACTGTGTTTAAATCCAAAGACAAGAAAGTTATTTTAACGTATTTAACTGTACACTACATTTAGGCATTGAACGAAGAATATTGTTAACACTTGTTGTTAACACAACGTGTGAAAGCTTAAAATAGCTTTAACTGTGGATTACATAAAAAGTATAATTTGATAATTTACATTATTAGAACATCAATTTGAAGATGAAGTAATACAAGAAATATAATGATAAAAATGTGTTACCTCACTTGACCGGGTTCAATTTGGTAAAAATAATAATTATTTAATTGTTGCAAAACCACCTAACAATGGTGCAGGGTCGACGTGTTTTCCACTGCACTGATGCTCACGGCTCTCCCCGTCTACTCCCTAACTTGCTTAACCATCCATTTTAACCATCAATGACCTAAAAAGCACTGAGGTTTGGGCTATAGAAATGAGATGTCTTTCCCAAGTGTGCAGTTAATCGCTGTGTTTCTGGCAACACATCATCCCTTGCCCCGCACCATCACCACCTCCAGCACCGGTCCTCCTCCTTTTCTTCCTGCTCCTCCTTTCTGGTGCATCACCCCACTCACTCACTTTCAGTCTCTCCTCTCTCCTTCATTCCCTGGCTTCATATTGATCTGAATTCATTTGTTTTCTATTGATCTGCCACTCCACCCTCTGCTGCATTGAGCAAACACAAGGACACACACCATGTGCGCACAGAACTGGTGTATGCACTCATACAGAGATAAAACAGCTATTTACAATAGCGTTGTACCTAAGCTGCTTTGAAGGTCAATATGCACACTCGTACGCTGCCCGCCGGTCACGCCTGAAATCCCACACTCTGCATGCCATAGATTTCACAGGCAGAAAGCATAGGTATTGGGGGGGTTTCAGCTCCAACATCAAACAGGCTAATGACATTCAAAAAAAAAAAAACCTGGATTCCATATTGATCCGACACCTCAAGGAGGAGTATGAAAACACGGTCTAGCTTTGGCTATGGCAATAGAATCTGAGCTTACTTTCTTAGGGCTGCTCAGATGTTCTGAGAATAATTAATACAGCTAATGATAGGAATTCTGTTTGTAGCCAGTTACTCTGAGACAATTATGTGCCAGGGTCTTTATTTATAGCCTGTATGGTGACTTGGTTAAAAATAATTTTATAATAAAAACACAAGTTAAAACTACACATTTCAATAATAGGTTTTTACCCAAGAAAGTATTTAAAGTATTTAAAGTCTATTTAAAAAGTCTAATTAAAAAGTTGAAGAAGCCACAAAATAATCTATAGAAGACAGAAATGATTCTTGTGTTTTCAATGCATTGTAGAGTGTTAACGCTGATGTTATTGATGTTATATTCTGTTCTGGTCCCTGATGGGTTTTGTTATTCTTGTTTTATTTTAGTTCTTCAAATATTGACTCAAACTCAGCCTTCAAGCACCAACCTTGAGTCGTCATACTGTATATTTCACACATTCTTCTTCTAATAACATTAATAGTATAATACTGGTGATATCATTTGTTTGACAGAAGTTGAATTAAAATCATGTGCACTGTATATGATGTAACCGACAGATGGATATCGGCGTGGGTAAATGGGAGTGTTTACAAGACATTAGTGAGATCTGCTACGATACGCAGATTAGCTGCATGTGCCGTCTACAGGGCAAGTAGGCTGAGCTGCTGGTGATGTTGAAGATCGTTTGGTTTGGGCTAATGCTCAGACAAATCCCCTTTTATGGTGCCCTCTGAAGTGAGCAGTCGCTTGAATATTTGTCTGTTTTTTATTATCTCCAAGGCAGTGTACATTTTTGTCACAAGTGAAAAATCCTCAGTGTAGAACCCCAAGTTGTAAAATAAATGCTATGGCGTTGCTTTGTGACATTGTCTCCATAGTTCGCTGTTATACAACTATGGAGACAATGTCACAAACACACACACACACACACGCAGAAGAAAGACCAAATGGCTTGAAAAAAGTGTAACTGTAGAGGAGACATGGGAGACTGTGAGATGGAGGCAGATGATCCCCTGAAAGGAACAGCTGAAAGAAAATAAATGCTGTTTACTAAAAACCGTTGGATGATGTTAATTTCCCTCACACTCATAGCTGTACCATACGTGTTGTATGTAGGGTTTACTAAATATTGGCAAATTCCAGTTCCTGCTTTACATTGATAAATATAACATTGTTTTACAATGCAGCATTGTCAAAGAATTAACACATGATACGGATCAGTAGAAGGTTGATTTTGTTTTTCAGTAGTATCATCAGATGGAGTATGAAAAATATATCAACGAAGATGCAGTGTTCAGGCTGTCTGGTCTCCCCAGTAAGCTGTGACCAATCTTTCTTGCCCTGCTGGCCTCACAAAACTTAGGGTTGGTGGCATCAAGTTGCGGCAAAAGCAGACTGTTTGTCCTGCCCCCTGACCTCTTTCTAGGACATGCAGTGCTCAGTCCAAATGCATCTCCAACAGTCTTTTAGGTTCAAAGGGCTTTAGGGGGGTTGGCCAGGGGTCTGAGATTGAGCTTCCTTTTTGTAATATTAGATAAAATGCACCACAGGCTACAGTCGCGCTCCCTGAGGGCATGGAGACAGGAACACACAGAGCCATTATATGTACATGAGGGAAATAATGAGCACACACCAAAACAAAAACAAACACAACGAAACATCTCTTGTTATCTTTTGTGGCACTGCACCTTTATAATTATTACAATGTTTTTCTCACTCTTTTATTTATGCCTTATTGTATTTTCAAACATTCATCACCACTTGTCTTGAAATGTCTTTTCTGGAAGTGGCACTACCTGGTACTGTGGCCTGTATAAAAGCAAAGGTTGGATTGTGTG